TCCCCATCTTAAATACTCTTAATGTGTCTGTAAATGACAAAACGTAAACATTCTTTCTTTCGTTTAAAGACCCGTCTACACAAGTAAACTAAGTTGCCAAAATTTCAGCTTCATAGCTTTTGTAGATTCAAAAATCTAGATATTCGAGAACAGACCACACACACAAAATTTTTCCACAATATGCGTTTTTGCATTTTCTATCAGTGATGAAAAAATGCATGAAACCAAAGAAAAGATTAAAATACACGACCTACACAACAAATTAAAAAAGTACCCGTTTTCTCTTCTTTCTCCGCTCTTTTTCCGTCAAAGTCATAACCTCTTCGATGTAAATTACCTCCTTTTCAGATTTGCATTGTGCCCCATCTTCCAAATTTGTCCCATCAGAAGTCTGCAAAAAAAAAAACAATTACATTATCAGGAACCCAAAATCGAGTTGAAAAGCCAAAAAACGGCTAAAGCGACCAACTTTTTCTCCAGCAGGTCCGCGATTTGTGGCAGGATCGAAATGTGACCACAGTTTCTTTCCACTGCTTACTTCGGTTCCACTTTTTTCCGTTTCCGGCTTCTCAGCCTGCAGTGGAAAAATACTGCCGGATGATTGGCAAAAAGAGCATATTTTAACGATTGACAAAAAAAATTTTTTTTTACTAAAAAACCCTGGTGGAGGTTCTAATTAATTACACAGAAACGGATTTGGCTTATTGCATTCTACTAGCTCTTCTACATTTTTTAATCCTATATAGCATTTAAAGCTTCATAATTAAGAAAAGGGTGAATAACTTTCGCCATGGTCTGCGATATATTCCAACTGTGAGAAATGTATACGACTTAATGGACCGAAACATTTCTTACCTACTTTAATAATTTTTTTCATGTTTTCCGTCATTCTTTCTTATATTTTTTCTTTAACCTTAAACATTCTACAAGAAGATTACTTTATCTGCAAAAGCGGCAGCTTACAATTCGACCATCTTAACAGCCATGTTATATAGGTGTGAGACGTGGAATACCACGTTTGCTGAAGAACAGGAACTGGCAGTCCCCCAAACACCAATGGAGCGACGGATGGTTGGCGTCAACAGGCTACATCCCAAATGAAGTGCTACGAGCCAGATCTAGCGTGAAAGATATTACTGAAGCAGTGTACGCCAGCAAGAAGAGATGGGCCTGGTCATGTGGCACGGATGACAGATAACAGATGGACGAAACGGATAATGGAATGGCATCCGCGCACGGTCAAACTAACACTGAGGAGGGCACCAGTGAGGTGGAGAGACCCCAGTGGTACGCCTGTACGGAATCGCATGGACTCGGAGAGCGCAACAGGCAATGGAGAAGAATGGAGAAGTTGCCAGTGCTGCATCGATGGCATGACAATGGTAAGAAATGTATACGACTTAATGGATCGAAACATTTTTTACCCAATTTATTACTTCTTTTTACAACTTTCTTTTTTTACTCTTTTTTGACCTTTTCTATCATCCATTTCTACATTTTTCGCCGAAATTTTCACTTAACCTTAAATAAATGAACATCGATGACATGCAGCTGCTCAAGTATTCGAGTAATTATGGCACTTGAAAAGTGATACCTCTTGCTCCACTGCGTTTGATTTTTTCTCCATCATAGTGATACGATAGCATTCAAACGGTGTTGCCCATTCCTCCAACATCTTTAGCACTTTTGCTAAACGTTGTTTCGTTTCTTGGTCAAAGCCAGTTTCGCCAATTATGTAGACATCAGGGGAAGGAGATGCAGTATGAGGGTTGTTGCTTTTGTTACCACTTTCTAGATCTTTACCACCGCCAAATTTCTCATAAGCAATATTGCGAATTTCTTCATTATACTTGGTTGTTGAAAAATCCAGGTGACACCTAAAATTCGTGCAAAAAATCCACCATTTTTTCGAAATCCATGATCGATCTTTCGAAAAAATCATGGTTTTTTTTTTTTCATGGAAATCGTGAGCATCACAATAACGAATGATATTCAGTAATTCTCAGTATCGGTTAATACCTAATATTTCTTAGTTTCGGATGATATCTCTTAAATCTAAGTTGCACTATCATGCCTTTCTACGATGTACTGTTTTAGGCCTATAGTGGATGATTCTGCCAACACATAAAAGGCGTGGTTGTTTCGTGCGGTAAAATCTATAAACTCATCCCATTCACGTTATTTATTGATAAAAATCGAAATGAATATCAATCTACAATTGAAAATTAGCAAAACTAAATTTGGAAATGAAATTATTTTGGGAAGTATGTGAAGAATTCCTTAAATTGCCGCTCTACACCTTCCTTTGATTCCCTTTCAACCTTAATTTAAGTCAAAGGAAGACAAAAATATGGCCCTAAAAACTGATTTTAGGCTTTCGGCTCCACAAGAAACTAATTACTGTGTCCCCAAAATTTGAGTTTTTCAGTTTCCATCAGCAGATGAACTCTTGAGAAATAAAAACACAAAGACATGAAATTATTCAAAAAGCGAAAAATCTTATTCATGTACGTTGCTCTTCTCTACAGTTGTAGTAATGGTAAGAAATGTATACGACTTAATGGACCGAAACACTTCTTACTATGATAATAATCTCAAAAATTTTCTAATTTTCATTCCTCACCTTTCTTTTCCCTCTTTCCTCTTTCTTCCCTGTTCTTTCCTATTATAACTTGCTATTTCATAATTCCCTAATAAGTAATTAAATATTTAAAAATCGCAACCTGAGCAAAGCTTTCACTGCATCCATCTTATTCAAACGCGAAACGACATTCTCGAATGTCAATGTGCCAATAGTTGGAGCAGATACTGCTCGTTTCACCAGAGGCTGATCACGAGCCGTGCTGATGATACGATGTAGCGCATGCAATTCTTGCTTCACATGCAACGGTACCGGACTACAGCACGCCAGGATACCTTGCATTTCACGAGGCAACATCTGAATAGAAAAAAAAAAAGAAAATGCCCTTTTTTGTAGCAGCCCATCGATAAAAGGAGAAATACCCCATTTCAAACACCCCCAGCAACCACCAAAAGGGTAATCCTACCCATTTTTTAGGTCCCATTTACCCAAAAGATTTTTTTTTCTTTTTGTGGATTTAGGCGTCGAAATCTGGTTTTTCCGGATCCATATAATTTTTTCCTTTAATGCCTTTTTTAGAGTAGCCCTTCGATAGGAGAAATACCCTATTTCCAACCCCCTTGTGACCACTAAAAGAGCACTCCTACCCATTTTTGTGGCCCAATTACTCAAAAAATTTTTCCTTTTTGTAAACTTAAACGTAGAAATTCGGTTTTTCCGGATCCATTTAACCGGCTTCAGACACAAAAGATTCTCTACTTACGAGGCCTTTTTTCAAGCAAACCCCATTCCCTTTGATCAAATATCTCGCTCAGCCTCAGATAATTTTTCACATTTTTCACCCCAAATAAGTGATTTTCATGCCTTTTCAAGAAAAAACAGGACAAAGTGCTCCAGAAATTTTTAAGATGCAAACTATGAATATCACTGGCTTGGGGACTGGAAAAAGCGGGGGCCTGGAATTTTCTATTTGTTCATGCTTTGTTTGGCACTAGCGGCTCACCGATGAGAGGGACACAGTCCAATATCGACAGTTGTGGGAAGTGCCAATTTAAATACCCAGATAAGCGAGCCTGTTTGTGCATTAGCTGTTGTCCTGTCTGTGTTTCATTCCTAAACCGTAAACACAGATGGCAGAGCCGGTGCGGAATGGGGTGATCTGCTACTTCCCAGCATGCTCTTGACCACACGAATACGCTGTCGGAAATTTTAAAACAGCAAGTACCAAATAAGTGAACTAATAACAATAATAATAATAATGATAATGATAATGATGATAATAATAGTAATAATAATAAT